TAGTTTGGAAACTACATTGAAAATTGAATACTTGAATACAAAATTGAAAATTGAATACTTGAATACAAAATTGAAAATTGAAAATTGAAAATTGAATACAATAAAATGTTTTACCCAACAGAAGCGCGAATGGTAGTTATATCGTAGGTTTCTAAAGAATATATAACTTTGTCCAATACATCAATCACATCTTGCTGCGTGAAGATAATTTCATGATGCTCAGTTCCGATATAGTCCGCAACCTGCATAAGAAATTCTAATTTTTGCGTGCCTTTATCAATGAAGAAAGATAGGTACCCAAAGTACAAAATCTTCCACCAACCTGTCTAGCCGCAACAATGTCTGGACTGTCGCCCATACCTATTGCAAAGCTCTGTATTTTGTATTGTAGATTGTGTTCCTTTGCATGTTTCATCAGCAAAGCAGCAACCAAGCTGGAATCTAATCCACCCGACAATAGGCAACCTATCCGCCTATCGGCCATCAATCGTTTCTCAACTGCTGCTGAAAGCAACTTTCGGATGTTGGTATAAACATCATTTGGAGTTAAGGCTGTAAAAAATGAAATGATATAAAATGTTCCTATACTTTTAATGTACATACTGTGATTCAAGAGTATCTGCCAGCTCACCATCCCAAGGGACATATGTGTGAAAAGAAGGCTTGTCACCAGGTTTGTGATAATGACAACTTTCTACCAGCTTTGTTCGACCATCATGCAAAATATCATATATCTCGTAGTGCCCTGGTGGAAAAGGCTCTAGCACCCATTTGCCACTTATATGTTTCGATATCGCCATCAGACCCTGAAATACACCAAGAATGGCAAATATAAATGAGCAAAGAGGATTTAATAATGAGAAAAAACTTAATCTGCTCGTGAATGTACTTTGCTTTCTGAAGAGATAGCCAGTTGTCCATCGTCCGAATGTAATTTAAACAATGGTCGTACACCATATGGGTCTCTGCCTATTAATATCTTTCTGTCCGAAACGTCCATCAGGCAAAATGCAAATACACCATCCAGAGATTGAGCAACGCTGTTAGCGCCGGCATAAGCATACACATGCATGAGTGCTTCCACGTCGCACTTCGTGATATATTCAAAATCATGTTCTTTTTGCAACTGTAACATCATATGCATTTTTATTTCTCTTGATAACACGAAGTAGATAACGCGAAAAAGAGATATGTTACTTTTTTGTAATTGTATATCTCCCCATTACACAGGAGGAAGAGATGCGGATATTTGCATATCCTCATCGGCTGCATTCCATAAAGACCATCGACGATGGCCAATCTGTGAAATCCTAGGTATCCATTCTGGAGAAAAAAAAAAACATTAATGAGAAGAATTTACAATTGAAATTCATGAAGGACTCCCACAAACATACCTTGACTCTATTATCAAACTCTATTTTGAAAGCTTCTGGACCACGGTGCGATATTTTATCGAAATTCTCACAGATGCAGGTCAACGGTTGCGTGTCCAGTCCGAATAAAGCCCAAATTCCGCACATTCTTGCCGGCGATTGAATGTCAGTCTTCTCGCGATTATAACTGCCGCGTATGCGCGTCTGGCCACGTGTCGTTCTCGAAATTCGAAAGATGTTCACTCGGTGTCCTGAAAGTGAAGGAGAAAAAATGAAATACATCCGATAATTTTAATTCCTGGTAATCATTCAGTTTAGATGACAATCCAAATTTTTTTCGTTTCGTGCAAAAACGCATCGAACAAACATAATTTCATTAACATCTGTGATTGTGTCACATTTAAATTGAATAATTATATAATTCTTTTATTCAGTATTCGATATCATATGAAATGAAGAATTTTATGAGGACTTTTTTTCAGCAAATACAACTTACCCTCGGCGCGCAAGTAAACACTTCCTTACGGTACAAGTACGCTACTGACCACCGCGTTACCGTTCCGTGCTTCATATATGGATCTCGCACTCGATGACGTCAGCTACTGTACACGTATGAATGCGCATGTGTATTCGTACATCACGATTGCGTTTCTGATGTAATAGTCGCGCATGGTTGAGCGAAGTCGGCAGGAACGAGCGACAGGTGAACGGATCATGGAACGGAATGTCTGGCGGTGATAAACCGTAGCCGTAACATACCCTTGTGTTTTTACAAAGAATTATCCTTCGTAAATAATCACAAACAATATTTCACGGCAGCCTTTGATTAATATGATACGTCTGATCTGTGCGCTTAACTCTTGGAAACTCCAATTTTTATAAACAAATAAGTATATAATGAGATGTTCAAACAAAGAAATAGGTAATATATGGAAATAGGTAATGTAGGCATTATTCAGTCAGGCAGAATTTTTAATTTATTTATTAACACTCAAAATAAATAATTAAAAAAATTACTCCCTTCAAGTAAAGTCACGAGTAATATAAACATCTATTTTGTTAGCAATGTAAAAGTATTTTGTGATTATTCCGAATGCGAAGGAAGGACCCCCCCCCCCTCTCTAATTCTCTTATCGCGACATTATTACGATGTGTATGTCAATATAACCGTATGCCAGGCTCGAATTATATAGAATGATCGAATAAAAATTCAAACGTGGAATTCATGGAGCAGTTTCACGGATCGTCGATAAAACAGGGGGCGCGCCGTTGATAAAGGAGCAACGAGTCGCGCGCATCCGGTGGCGGCGCGCGGTGGACGCGAGGCGCGGCAGTCGCGTAGCCTCGGCGACAGTGGCGGCGCGTCTCCTCGCCCCTTTCCGGTCTACCCCCTTCCACGTTGGCCCTCCTGCTCCTTTCTCTGTCCGTTCGATCATCGCTCCGACTCTTTCTCTCTCCCTTGCCAACGCGAGTTCCGCGCTCTCCACACAGTATTTCGCGCGTGCTCTCGGCTAGCGCGCATTGCACCGGAGGCCCGTTGGTGTCCCGTCGTTCCGGATGCAGGCGCGCCGCTCATGTCGGGTGTGTCGTAATCATCGTGCCGAATCGTCGTGCCACGACACGAACGTGGACGTGGATTCGCCGCCGGTTGCTCGCGCGGCGCACGGAGCACGGGGCTAGTCACGGAGGCGGCCAGCGGCGGCGGTGGTGGTGGCGGTGGCGGTTCTCGACTCAGCTGGTCGCTCGTAGACTCGTCTTGAATGCTGCCGACGCGCGCGGAACGACGCGAACAGTCGGCGTTCGCCGGTGCTCCGAGGAGGATGCGTGCCGTACGTTGCCGGCCGCGTCACGGCCTATAGGCGCGCGGCACCATAGCCCATCCTCCCTCTCCTCCTCGTCGGTAGGTATTTCGTTGCCTCATTTCCTTCTGTCGCGAGTGTCCGAGTGTGCGGGGAGTGTGTATGTATATACGTGAATTCGGTGCTGTGTCCATCGCGTCACCGAACATAAGGGAAAGAAAAAGAAAGAGAGAGAAGTAGGGAAAGAAATTGTCTCTTTCGAGGTTAGAGGCTATGGTGTTTCGAACCTCGTTCGACGATTGTGTCTGATATATATACCTCGCACGTACGTGCGTATATATAAAATTGTTAAATATAAAATTGTTTTACCTCGCCGTGGTCTGTCACGCTGCGGTACTCGTCTCATTTTTGCGAACTCGCGTGTCTCGTGACCGGCCGGTCGATATCTCTGGCGGGCGACGGTGGCAGCCAGGCAGGCAGACTCGCTTCGGAAGAGACGCGACGACGCTCGACGCCGAGGACGTCACCGACGGCGACGACGACGACGTCGTGCCACGTAACGCAAGACGCTGCTTCGACGGTACGCCTGTCCGTGCGGTTTACTCGCGCGCGGCCGTCCGCCGCGAGAGGCGAAGACGTGTCGTTATACTCGTTGCTTGATGGCTCGCTGCTCCCCGTGGCCGCACGCGAGACCGAGACTTAACCTCATCTTCAGCGCGCGCGCACGCGCGCGAGCGAGCGAGCGCGGGCGCGAATGCGAGCGCGAGAGAATCGATCGACCTGGTGGCCATCCCGGCGCGACCGGCACATAATTCACGCCGCGATTTACGCAGAGGATAAAAGACCGGGGCTGATCGCGCCGACGAGGAGGAGTCAAGACGACGACGACGACAACCGAGGGAGGCCGGCCGAGGAACACGTCGTGGAGGATCGTCTAGTTGACGACGCCATCGGAGGATCCGTCGATTACGCTTTCAATCTAAGGTAAAACGAATTGTACGAGCAGCTTGCCTTCTCGGCTCTACTCTCTTTCTCTCTTTCTCTTTCGCTTTTTTTTCTCTCTGTCCGTCCTTCCGACCGTTACGATCGCACGACGTTGGACGTTGCCATTGATTCGTCGCGTTATCGATTACCCCGCTTAATTATCGTAACACGTGGCCGCGGCTCGCGTGCGCCAGTCCCGCTTTTGCACGAGTAGATGGACGTATCTTTGTTTTTCTTTTCCTCTCTTTGGTACCGCCTTCGTTACGCTCGCGTCTCCGTCATCCGCGTTAGGCGATTCAGATTCGAATTTACGAAGTTCACCGTAAACGAGGGTTTTAATTCGCGTCGCGAATTCTGTTCGCCACGTGCTTCCAATTAGTTGAATTACTCGTATTTCGCACAATCATTTTCGCAATTAACGTCTCTCAAAGAGATGCGCAGCCTATGTTCACTCACAATCGTATATCTGAAATGTCATTGTTTTTCGTGAGAAACTGGAAAGAGAAGTATTTAAACATACTATCTAACAGGATTATCTCTATTATATTTAGAAATACCCAAATATTATTTTTGTTTTTAAAATTCACATTATATTTTTGATATAATTGCATACCTATTGCATATTTTACTTTTAAACGAAATAAATATTGTGATAAATAAATCAGGGTGGAAAAACTTGGAAAACCTGAAATTCTCAAGGAATTTTTTAAACTTTGAAAAATCAGGGAATTCTCAAGAAGTTTTATTAAAAATCAGAATTTTTATGAAATTTTTTAAAAATATTTTATCTTTGTATTATTTAATTGGGAGTTTACTGACTGAATTATTAATGCTAACAGTGGATATATTCTAAATATCACAGCACACTGGTTTTATGACCAATCCAATATTCAGTATTGAAAATGTCAATTTCGTGTTACATGTTTTTTAATGAAAATGGATATTTATTTTAATAACTTTATAAAAGTAAAATTTTTGCTTTGTTATGCATTATATAATCTTTTATTTAGGATTTTTGAAAATAAAGTTGAACAATTTTATGCAATATTATTTTTAGTCCTTATATTTTCTTTCAAAATTTTTCAAAATTAATTGAGATTCTGTGATTCTTAACTTTATGATTTATAAACTTTTACGAAAATGGAATTAAGGATTTTGCGCAATAGATAAATTACATATTTATTTGTAAAATACATTTAAAAATATTTTTATTTTACTTGGGATTTTTTTTATAAATTCTCTTGAAAATTCTTATGGAATTTTTTTTTTCGAGATTTTGAATAGACACCCTGATAAATATTGTGACGTATAAATGAAGAAACGTGGAAATATATTAATATTTAACAGGTGTGTCGCGTCGCCGGTACTGAATGCAGTATTTTGAAATCGAAACGAGTTCGTCCTCCGCAATGCGTTCTCCCGCTACTTCCGAGTGCCGCTTATTCTCACATGGAGTAAAATATTCAAACGCTATCGCTGCCAGTCCCCGTAAAACTTAGTCGCGGCGCGGTTTTTAGAGAGAATTTTCCAGGAGGAACGCGCGCTCGCGGAGCGTAGATATGTATCTTTAATAAGACAACACGTGAGACAAGGTCAGAGCTTTTATTACTTTCTTACGTCGCGCCGAGAGAATCAATTTCTCCGGGAGAATCTCTGCGAGACGAGGGACTAATAATAAGGGCGCATTTGTTCTCTCGTCGAATTAATAATTAATGAACAAACCGACTGGCTCGCTGAAGGCGACGGCGTGTCTTTCGCGCGGAAAAATGGACCGTTCGCGCGCGAGACGATTCTATTTTATTGAAAACACGCATTGAAAACGCAAGTGCGCTCTTCGTTTACATAACTTTCAGCAACACTTGCGTCGATTTGAATTAGCTCGAATCGATAGCTCCCCGGATAAATGAGGAGCGTTTATGGAAGCGTGATGTGAGAATTGGCGCGCATCGGGTAATTTAAAAATACCCGTAAAATTAATTCGTCTTCGTTAATTCGACAACGGTGTGATTAAACGTGATGATGTGGGTCGGCTTCTAACTTTCATTCTAATTACATTTGTTTACGTATTATAGCCATTCGCGCGAAAGATATGATATCCACTTCTAAAAAGATTACACTTCTAGCTCGTTTAATTTCTTTATTTCTGAAAGGATTATATTTTTATTTATAGTGAATCTCTCTCGTGACTCGGTAAACAATGCGAATAAAGAGTTTAATATAACTACGTGGAGAAAACAGAGAAAAATGAATATAAAGCAAATTGTCTTTTCAGATTTTATATTTTACTTTTTCTCTCGTTTTTTTTTTTATTGTTAATTAATATGGGCAGAACTTTTGATTTAGGTCCACTTTTCTTTTTTCTCTTTGTTTCCTCCAATTCATTATCGAGATCGACCCGAGCTCGCTGGCACACAATGACGCAGATTAAATAGAAAGCAGAAATGAGAAGCCGGCTGGTTCGCGCCGAATTGGCGTTACCAAATGGAAAGCATTGCCGAGCTTCGATGGAGCATGATCGCTTCTCCGATTATTATGCACAACGGTAGTGGCATAACCGGTAATAACGTAAACGTAAGTCGTCTGCGCGTAAGTGATATCGTCCGTTTTATTATCTGCCATCAAAGTGAACGCTAATCTTCTTGCTCGCGCACCATAAAGGTCTATGTTATTCCCGTTCTCGCGGAAGGGAGGAGGGGAATTGTATTCTAAATGTAGGTAAATAAAGGTAAGTCGCCGAGTATACATCTCTTGTAATATCACAATGATAAATGGAGAGCTCAAGCCTAATTGGATTTCATTCGCGCGTTACGCAAAGGAGAAAGGGGAGATCCTCCCGCGAGTGGTCAAAATTGAAAAAGAGGAAAGTATCGGATCGCTGGTTACGTGCATCGATGCATCCGTTATTGATATAATTCGGGATGAGAAGGTTCTTTCGTTGTCTTAAAACAATGATATTTCACATTTTCGATTTTACGTATTCGTATCTGAATGGCTCGCCGACGACGGAGTCGCGGCTCCGCACAATAGGCGTTGACAATAAGTATACACGTTCTTTGTCTTTCTCTCCTTAAACGCGACATTTGCACAGCTTGGCTTGACTCGGCAAATCCAATAACAAAGTCGTTCGCAGTGGAAACCGCCTGGTTCTCCGCGGCTGCGGCAGACAACGTGGCGACGGGGATTTACTGATCGGTTGCGAGACGACTCGTCATCCTCAGTCTCGATAACACGCCCCGTCCGTGAAAACTTTTGGCAACGCGTTGCGACCGACGAAATTCGCATCGTTCAGCGTTTCGCGTGTTCGTTCCAAGTTTCGATTTGCACGCGTTGGAGCGACGCGAATTCCTCCAGCGCGCTCGCCGCACCGCCGCATTTTATTCCCAATAACATTGACAGTCATCGTATGGAAAATCTTGCGCCGAGTTTGAGTCGACTTTGGAAATTTTCGCGAAACTCTCGACGATACGATGTGAATTCCATCGTCGTTGAATCGTCGTAAATCGCATCCCGGCCGTCGCGTTCGGCGGGGAGGAAGGGACATCTTCCTCCCCCGCGTGCGCTCGAGTTTCGCGCTGAGAGAGGTGCCAGGGATGAGATCACACCTGCATAAACTCGACATTTCTCGCGCGAAATTCCCGGTAAAACTCTGTCGCAAAATGACGTAAGGCAGTGAATAATACCATCGAGTTAAAATCTCGATGGTATCCTCCCGTCTATCTCGCTCGACAATCACGATTGATTGGACGATATTCCTCGACGCGCAATTTATCACGCCTTTCGCGGAATGCCCGCGAACAGCGCGATGCTCGGTGATTGCTCGTATTTACAGGATGTAAAATTTTTACGTTGATCCTCTACCTCCTCTACCTCCGATCTCCTACGTAATCCTCCTCCTGCTCTTCCTCCAGTTTCTCCTTTCCCCTCCCCTCCTTTCGCTCGAACGACGTCGCTCGGCCGGTTCGCGTGCGGGATTCTTTCGCTCGCGCGGCCGCTTTACTCACTTGGACGATAATTGATACCGAGCACGTGCTTACCAGTGATCGTCACGCGCTCGAGCCAAGATGGATCGCCCCGTCGCCGGCCACTTGGATGACCACGCAAAACGGCCGCATAATAGCGCGCACCGAGAAACGGGACGCGTGCGATAAAATCCGGACGAAATCCTTCACGCGAGATCCCCCGTGTCCCCCGGAGACATGTCTCTCGTGGTGGATTGATTGCCGCGCTCATTACCCCCTCGGACCTCCCTCGTCTTTGCGTCTCCGTCAGACGATTGGTAACGATGGCAATAACCAGCGACTGGCTGCTCAATCTACATAGCGATCCCCCATCGCCACGAAAACTGACCTCACATAGTTACGGAGTTATCGGAGTATTCACTTGCTGATTGTTCAGTGAATCACGAGACGAGATACGCCGACCATATAATTTATATGGTTTACCGTAGATGAGCACTGGATGCCCGTGGGCTCTTTTATTACGACCACTTATTTCGCGCGGTTTCTTTTCTCGCTTTGCCGTTTGCGTAATCGCGACGGAAGCGATGAGAGAGTCAAGATAAAATATGTGTATTTTTTTCT